ATGTGAAGAATCAAGACCTAAGGGATTTATCCAATCACCCTATGCGATGCGTTAAAGAATGACACACATATTTTGTGAATGGATACAAATTTCATATAAATGCATGGAGCAAGGGAAAAAAGACAATAAACAATGGTGTTTATGTTAAGGGTTTGACAGAAAGTGGTGACAATGATTTTTATGGAGTAATTATGAAAATATATGAGTTGGAGTACAATACTTCAAATTCTCCCAAAAAAGTTATGGTTTTTTATTGTGAATGGTTTGATCCATCAAGAAGAGGTACAAAAGTGGATCCTAAATATAATATTGTAGATATTCGAATGGGTTTAAGATATGAACCATTTGATCCATTTATCCTTGCACATAATGTAAGACAAGTGTATTATGTTCCATATCCATCATTTCGAATAGACAAGCGTGGTTGGTGTGTTGCAATCAAAACAAAACCAAGAGGTTGTATTGATTCAGATGGTGTGGAAGAGGATGCCCCTTACCAAGTAGATGAAATGTTACATGGCAATGAAGTCATTGAAGTGGAAAGCATATTTGGATTACATGACTATGAAGCTAATCCTGAAGAATTGGAAGAGGAAGAAGAAGAGGAAGAGGAAGAGGAAGAGGAAGAGGAAGAGGAAGAGGAAGAGGAAGAGGAAGAGGAAGAGAAAGAGAAAGAGGAAGAGGAAGAGGAAGAAGAAGAGGATGACGATGACGATGACGATAATGAGGATGAAGCCTAATGTTTCAAGAAAATTAGAAACATAAATATTTTGATTTTGTAAAAAAAACATATTGTACCCTTATTTGTTATGAATTATGTTATTAACTGAGTGTCCCTTAATTTATATGAGTTTTTACATCATAAGTTATTCATAATCTTATTTTTTTATGTATAGATATGTCCACAGGAGGTCCTGACCCACCTCGACCCCCACCCTCTGGTAGTGATAAAGGGAAGGGGAAGGCGATATCAAAGAAAAAGAGACCACGCTACGTTTTGAAAGTGGTTTCCACAGATATACCTTCCACATGCACTACACCTAGACCATCCACTACACCTACACCATCCATTACACCTATATCATCCACACCCGTTGCACCCATACCATCGCCATCCTCTGTTGTAGGACCTACACCATCCCCTTCACCCCTTATACCTATTGTACCCACACCATTCACAACACCATTCACTTCTATTTTACCACCCATACCATCCTCTCTTGCAGTTGTGGCACCCGCCTCCTCTCCAGTTGTGGCAGCCACTCCTTCTCCATCTTCATTCCCTGTTGTGGCGTCAGCACCTTCCTCCTCTCCAGTTGTGGCACCCACTCCTTCTCCATCTCCATCCCCTATTGTGGCCTCAGGACCTTCCTCCTCTCAAGGTCACTCACCTACTGTAGATGTTGATTCAGAGGTTGAAGAAGATGTTCCTGCTATACATGATCGACCGATGATTGAACCTTATAGTCGAGGGTAATATTTAATTTAAATTCTCCAATTTATTTATTATAACTAAGTTTTAGTCATTTTCAGCACATATGTAACTTGCATTAATTTTTCTTTGTAATTAGGTTTCTTCCATCCAGAGTTGCATCACAAGCTATAACAAAGAGTATTAAACAACAATTTGTTCAACCTTGGGCCACATGGGGAGTGATACCTAATAGTGATAAGGAGTCATTTTTTCAATGTTTTAAGGTAACTTAATCTTCTGTACATACTTAATTATTAGAAGCATGTTTAATGTTACTATTGATTTCCATTAATGTATATATAGCTATAATTATTGAATATATGTTTTGTAGTCATTTTTTCTATAATGTGTATAACAATTTATACTTTTATAGATGAAGGTTCAATGGAGACCACAACATGAACATCAAATAAAGAAGAATTTTCATTCCAAAGCATCTCACAGACTTAGTGAGATGTTTAGGGATGCAAGAATTGCTAGTCAAAGACCAGACTGGATTGGAGATCACGTTTGGAGCAGTTTGCTAGCACATTGGAACTCACCAATGTATCGGTCCAAATCTGCACAAGCCCAAAAAAATAGGGCATCTGAAAAGGGTGGGAGCCTTCACACAGGTGGCTCTATCAGCACACATGAGCATGCCATACGTATGGTAAGTCTTTATATCATACATTTACAATTTTAAAAAATTTGTTGGGTTTTATATCTCAAATTGTTTATGTAATGTAGGCAAAGGAACTTGGAAGATCAGTTTTTATTGATGAGATCTTCCAACAGACTCATATTAGGAGGAAGACGGGTCAATTTGTTGATGAAAGATCTAGGAAGACACACGTGAGAACCTTCATGTTAAACTTTGTATAGTATGTAAAGTTAATAATCATGTTAATAATTGATTTGTTTCTACTAATAGGAGGAATTTGAAACTAGACTTTCACAAGCTAGGTCATCTGCTGGATCTTGTGTTGGCGAACCTGAGTCCACTCCTACTGATACTGCACATGATGAAGTTATAAGGTCTCGTTGTTGGGTGAACACAATTGGAGGTAAGAATAAAGGAAGATTGTATGGAGCTGGACAACTTGCTGATGACTATCAGGGTGGTTCAGATAGCTTGAAGCATCAAACTCAAGCATCCAACTCCTCAGTTGACTTAGAAGAGATTAATCAATTGAGACAACGATTGTCTGTACAAGAAGAAGAAATACGTCGAACAAGGAAGCAGAATGAATGACTAAAGCACCAATTCAGAGAGTTTCAATCCCTTGTCGGTCATCTTCTACCCCCCAGTGCACAATCTCTTGTTCAACAGCGTCAACATAGTGAAGCAAATGATGAACAACAACCCCAACAACAACAATTGAATGAAGAACAACAAGATAACCCACCACAAGACGACAACATACCAGAACATCATTCTCCTGATTATTCTCATTATTAAATGTTATACAAACATCTATAGAATAATATTTCAATTGTACTTGTATGTTGATACTCTTTTTAGGATTATACATTATGTTTCATTATGCATAAATTACAGTACATTTGAATTTACTTATGATTAAGGGGAGTTAGATTTATGTTTAATTGAATTGTTGAATATATTATTGAATTGGACTGGATTGAATCTTATTTTACAGGTTATATGGGATGAAAAAAAAATAACCTGCTCTGGAACTAGAGGTGGTTTTATCGACGAATTTACTGACGGATAATCCGTCGGTAAGATTTGTGCATAATTGGTAATTACCGATGGAAATATCCGTTGGTAAGTATTTATGCCATTTACCGACGGATATTTCCGTCGGTAAGTATCTATGACATTTACTGACGGATAATCCGTCGGTAATGTAATGGGTATTTACCGACGGATTTATCCGTTGGTAAATTACCCACGGAAAAATCCGTCGGTAATTACTCATGATATTTACCGACGGACTAGCAAAATCCGTCGGTAAATTTTACCGACAACACTATTACCAATGGATTTAGGACCGTCGATAATCCGTCGGTAATATATATTTTCCGACGGAATTTGTTACTTACCGACGAATTATGTTCGTTGGAAATTTTGATTTTTCTTGTAGTGTATACCACAATTAAATGATGAAAATAGAATGTAGAAGCATACTTATATTTCCCATCGAGAATGATGAAGGCAATGAGATTAATAAAGTGTATGTGATCTTCTAAATATAAAAGGCTTTATATTTCTTTTTTTATTTTCTCTCTTCATTTGGTGAAGAGAAAAATATAGGAATTTAATTATGAAGAGAAAAATATAGGAATTTAATGTACTAATTTATGTAACATCAATTAGTTATATGAATTTAATATTTTTAATTTGACTCCTCGTCAAATCAAAATATTACTGATATCTATACAATAACTTTTCATGATAATTATAGCCTTAGCCATAGACTTAATATTAACATACCATTTTATAATTTGGGATAATCAAATATATATATATATATATATATATATATATATATATATATATATATATATATATATATATATATATATATATATAATCCAAAAATACTAACATGTGATCATGCATGCTTACTCAAATATACTATATCAATTTTATTCACAAAAGCCTATTTAAGTTTTCTTAACTATTACATAATATTTATCCATCTTATTGTCAAAAATGGATTTATTGTGCCTAAAATAAAATTTGTTGTTAAAACTTATTTTTTCACCAGCAAAAACTGTTGTTCGAATAATTTTAACCCAAATTAAGATGAAGCCACCTAAATTCTTATGAAAAATGGTAAACGATATACATTTTCTAAATTCTTATGAAAAAACGGTAAACAATATACATTTTCTATTTTGGTATCGATTGACAAATTTCATCCTTACGTATATTAACAATTAGATAGAAGTAGGTTAAAAGAAAGTAAAAAAAAAAAAATTCAGATTTTATCTTGGTTGTCATATATCTTTATGAATTATGAGTATCACAATATCTAAAAAAATATGAGACGGTTTATGGGATGTTAATTAAATTTAAATTATTGTTTAATAAATTTAAAATTAAAATTTCATCATTGAAAATAATATTATTAAAGTGTATTAAAATTTTCAATCTTGTTTGGCTTATTAATGCATAAATCTAGTTAATTGTGACCTTAAGGTTAAGATTTAAAACTGTTTTTGAACATTTGTACTTACTTATTTCTATTCATAGTTTTTCTCTTCCAAGAACACTTCGGTGTCCATAACCTAGAAAAAACAACTTAAACTAACTTTAATAGAACTATAGCCTATATATTCACTTTCTTATACCATAGATTTCTAAAAAATAAAAATAAAAAGTCCTAAGAAAATACTCAGAAACTACCATTCATTTGTTTCATCTCACTATTTTCTCTTCAATTTACATTGATCAAGAACAACTATCTTCATAATGACCTCTCTCATCCCTCCATACCTACTTTTGGCCATTATAATGGTTGTTATTTTAAATCCAAATCTCATCTTTGCAAAACAATCTAAGATAAATGGCTTGAAAATGAATGTTATTGATCGATGTTGGAGACCAAATCTAGAATGGAGGAAACATCGATCCCAATTAGCAACATGTTCAGTGGGCTATGCCGGCAAGATGTTAAATAACATTGGTAACGACCTTATTTATTATAAAGTTACTGACTCTAGTGATGATCCTATAAACCCAAAACCCAACACCTTGAGGTATGGAGCCTCTATGATTCCAAGTAAAGTGTGGATCACATTTGAGAAGGACATGGACATCAAACTAGAGAAACCCCTTCTTATTAGTAGTTTTACCACCATTGATGGTCGAGGTGTTAATGTCCATATAGCTAATAATGCATGCCTAATGATTTTTAAGGTAATCATTAATCCCTATTAACTAAACTTGCATGCATAACCTTTAAACATTTTTTTTTTTTTATTTTGATGAGTTACCACTTTGTATACAACCTTTCTTACCTTTTTTTTACAGGCCACCAACATAATTATACATGGCATCCGAATTCACCATTGCAAACCTCAAGCCCCTGGGATGGTAATGGGGCATGAGGGAAAGGTGATTCCTCTAGGCCATGTAGATGGGGATGCAATTAGATTGGTTACTGCTTCAAAGATTTGGATTGATCATAATACACTTTATGATTGTCAAGATGGTTTGCTTGATGTAACTCGAGGTTCCACTAATTTGACTATATCTAATAATTGGTTCAAAAATCAAGATAAGGTTATGCTTCTTGGACATGATGATGGATACGTGAGAGATCAAAACATGAAGGTTACCGTCTTGTACAACCATTTTGGACCAAATTGCAATCAACGCATGCCAAGGTAATTAATTATTTAACAAAGAAGTTAAATACTCAAATTTAAATGTTTTAACTAATACTAACAAACTAATTCACATTCTAGGATTCGTCATGGATATGCACATGTAGCCAACAATCTTTATCAGGGATGGCTCCAATATGCCATTGGTGGAAGCATGGACCCTAGTCTTAAAAGTGAATCTAACCTCTTCATAGCACCAACATCAAGGAATAAGGAGGTAATCAATTTGGAAGTTCTATTTGCACTATATTAAATCAATAGATAACTAATCAATTAAGTATTTATTTTTATAATGATTTTATTAATGTAATTATAATTATTAATGTGTGTAGGTAACTTGGAGGAGAAATAGTTCTAATAATGGAGACACATGGGAATTTCATTCGGTGAGAGATATTTTTGAAAATGGAGCGTCTTTTACTACAACAAAAGGAGGACGTGTGCCAAAACCGAATTATAATAATGAACAAAGATTTAAAGTTGTTGATGCCAAATTTGTGAAATCATTGACACGTTCATCAGGAGTGTTACCAACTATGTAATAAGACATCTATATATTGATTAGAGGTCCAAACTCTTATTGTTGGATTTACATTAGAAGGAGGAATATAAACCACCCTAATGCCCAAAATTATGCTAAAATATTTTATTAAAATAATCTTTGATAAAGCAACAACAAATTGATTGTTAATTTTGTATTGTTCACGTTCTATTGAGTTTGTATTGAGTCATTGCCATTGAGCTTTGTAAATTAGTGATAATATTATTACTTTATGTTGTTGAATTATTATTTATATTGTTTACAATTTTACTATTATTAAAATTATTATTCTTATTAAAATTTGACATAATCCACTCACTACTAGAAAAATGGTTAATAGTGACTGAAATTAGTGACCGAAAAATTCGAGTCACTAATAGTAACTCGAATCAATGACTGATTTTCCGTTTTATATTTAGTGACTGATTTAGTAACTAAAATTTCAGATCACAGAAATCGGTCACTGATTCGGTCACTATTAGAAAAATGGTTAATAGTGATCGAAATTAGTGATCGAAAAATTCGATTACTAATAGTAACTCGAATCGATGACTTGATTTTTCTTTTTATATTTAGTGACTGATTTAGTGACTAAAATTTTAGTCACTAAATAAATAATCTATAAATTAGTGACCATTTTTTATTTATATAAATATTTTTTTAAATTTTTTTAATAATATATTAAATATAAATCTACTTAATAATTTAAAATAATTGATAAAATTTGTAATAACATTATAAAATTTTTAAAAAATAGTTTATTAACTTATTAAATAATTTAGTAATATAATTATTTGATTTTATTTTTTAATTTAGTAAATGAATAAAAAAATTAAAATTAATTATTAAATTAGTCACCGAATCGGTCATCTGATTCAATCACTAAATCGATCATTAAAGTAATTATTAATTTAGTCTCTTTTTTATATATAATCAATGATTAAATTAATTATTAATTTAGTCTCTTTTTGATATATATATATATATATATATATATATATATATTACTTTTATGTTAATAAAAATGTATTTCAATGTATTTATAAAAAAATTAAAATTATTTTAATTATTGAATTAATATTTCAAATTTATATTAATATCTTAAATAATTTAATAATTGGATAAATATTTTAAGTTTATATTAGTATTTTTATAAAAGTGTAAAGATTAAGTGAACTTATTTTAAAATTTAATTAAACATAATAATATAATATACTATTAACCATAAATTTGTGAAGATTTAGTTAGAAATTAATTTTAAGTTTTATCGTTTTTATTTAAATAAAATTGTTAAAAAAATCAAAATAATTAATGAAAATAAAGAATTTTAATTTAATAAATGTGTTAATATTATTAGTTATTGGAGAATTAAATTTATAATAATAATAATTATAGAAAATTATAGAATTAATAAAATTTAAATTATTGGTATTTTTTTAATCATGAAGCTAAAATTTGATAATATTAATAAATTAAAATTAAAAAAATAAAAAAATTTATATATATATATATATATATATATATATATCACTTTAATTATTTTAATTAAAAATAATTTCATAAAAAAAACTAATATTTGAAAATAAAAATGCAAAAGTATATATTTTTTCTTTTATTTAATTATATTTTTTATTTTTTACTTTTTGGGTTTTAGTCCATAACAACAACTTAGTTGCCCTAATTTAAGTTTAACCTAGAAATCTCATCGTTTTACCACAAAAATATATAATTTCTCTTAGATTAAGAAAGTTATCACTAATAAGATTCAAAACCAGCTTAGAGTTAGAAACTAATACTCCAACCACTAAACTCGTTAGAATTTTCTAATAAAAATTTACAAATAAATTATATTTATATACAAATAAATGTATATCCGTGTAAATATATAAATATAAAATATATAAATATAAATATATTTATATATTTTGATATATTTATATGTTCAATGTCAAGGCCACGCTAGAGGGTGAAAGTGTGTGTCAAGTGAGTTTTCAAAATTTGATGTCAAATCCGTGAGCGAGTCTCTTTATATGGATTTGTAATTTAATGATAGAATATAATCTTTATAATTTATTTATATAATGATATAAATTAATTGTTTTCTTTCTTTATTTTTATTTTATTTTAATTTATTCTTTTTATCTTTTTTCTTCTATTATTTAATTAAAATTCTTATATTAAAATAATTTTTTCATTATTAAAAATAATTAATATTTATTTTCAAAATTATTTTTTAAAATTATTTAATTTAACAAATTATTATAAATTAATCTAATTATGATTATTAATAAAACAATTTTTTCCTAACATAATTAGATTGTTCTATTAATTATAAATTATGATTATTATAAATTTTTCTATTAATAATCATAATTAGATTAATTTATAATAATTTGTTAAATTAAATAATTTTAAAAATAAATATTTAATTATTTTTAATATTGAAAAATTATTTTAATATAAGAATTTTAATTAAATAATAGAAGAAAAAAGATAAAAAGAATAAATTAAAATAAAATAAAAATAAATAAAGAAAAAATTATTTTATATCATTATATAAATAAATTATAAAGATTATATTCTGTTATTAAATTATAAACCCATATAAAGAGATCCGCTTACAATTTTGACATCAAATTTTGAAAATCTACTCGACACACACTTTCACCCTCGAGTTCGCTCTAACATCTAACATATAAATATATAAATATATTTGTATTTATATATTTTATATTTATATATTTACACGAATATATATTTTTATTTGTATATAAATATAATTTATTTATAAATTATTATCAAAAAAATCCTAGCGAGCTTAGTGATTGGAGTATCGATCTCTAACACTAAGGTACTGAGTTTGAATCCCGCGAGTGACAATTATTTCAATCTTTTTTGTTGTCCCAAATCCCAAACGGTTGTCCCAGCCTTCTTGGTAGCCTAGGACGGTCGTCCCAAAATCCCAAATAGTCGTCCCGACCTCCTTGGTGAGCGTGCCTATAAATAGGATGTTAGACCTCATTGTTTTTCACAGTTTCAAACACTTAGACATGTCTCTAGACACCTCTAGACACTGAGTGATCTTTCTGATTGTCCTTTTGGGCAGAAAATCGGTTAAGGAAGTCTCCTTTGAGACATCCGGCTCTCGACAGTTTAAGTTTTTATTTGTTCGAGGGAGGAGTGTTCATGTAGTGTGAGGGGATTGCCAAAAAGTGTCCTCAAGTTTAAAGATTTATAAAAGCTTGCTTCGGAGGTTCATCTCAAACCCGTAATCGTTTATCATTTTCCTTCGTGTGCATTAGAAATTAGGGTCATGTAGACATTTAGATTAATATTGTAAATAAATAAATAAATAGGGTAAAAACTTAAATTCTAAAGTCTTTATTTTATAAATTAATCTATCATAGGGAACCAAAAAGGGGCGTTGTGGGGTGATAACACCTTCCCCATGCGTAACTAAATCCCTTACCCGACTCTGGTTATAATGACCAAAGATGGTTTTTCTTAACCAACGCCTTTTTTTATCCTTTTTCAATGTTTATGGTTAAAACATTGGTGGCGACTCCATAGAACCCATTTTGCGAAAATCTCACTTTTAAGTTTAGTTTGGTTATCGAGCATCCTAAAAGTGATGACCAAATTATTTTTCGAAAACACAAGATCCAACAATTACGTCGCACCACTCGCAGCTTTTCATTTCCCGCGAGGGGAACAACGGTGACAAATGGCGACTCCGTTGGGGAAGCTTAAAGAGTTGATCCCATTTAGTGGTGGATTAATTCAAAAGAAAATAAAAAGATTTGAAATTATGCTTTTACCCTTCTTTGTATGTATAACATGTTTTATTTGTATGGCTTTAATAACTGTTGTATGGTGTCGCCGCTGTCAAAAAGACACGGTCGGAGCGACGCGATGGTTCAGACTTTCCAATTTTTGCGTTTTTATGGGTGATGTTACAACGCCTTTAGGTTGTCCGATAACCGGGATGAACTTAGGGGCGAGGTTTTCGAAAATGTGTTCTTGGATTGTCTGATAACCAGGCTAACCCAAGAACTAATTTGAGGGGTTCTTATGGAGTCGCCACCGATGTTTTTACCGGAAACATCAAAAAAGGGGTAAAAAGGCGTTGGTTTTCGAAAACCAACTTTGGTTGTTAAAACCAGAGTTTAGGTAAGGGAGTTAGTTACATGTAAGGGAAGTGTTAGTTCCCTTACGATGCCCCTTTCGGGTTTCCTATGATAGGCCAGCTATTTTATAAATAAACTTATTGAAAAGATGCTTTTACCCTTTTATTAACGAAATTAAAATAACGACTACATGGCCCTAATGTCTATCATGCAATTTAATCATAAAAATAAAGACAATAAGAGAGAGATAGAGAATGAAGAAACCTCTGAGGCAAACTTTTTATTAACACTCTTGAAAATTAGGGTGCGTTTTGGAAGCCCTTCGCTCTTTACAATGCTGGAAATATCTCGGAAACGCTATAAAAACTCTAAAGAACTCTCAAAAACTCCGAAAATGCTTCGGAGGGGTTCTAGGAAGAGAATTTGAAGAAGTTGTAGAAGGGAAAGTGGAAGATCTGTGTGAAGTGAAGGGGGGAGCGCTCACTATTTATAGGGATTCGCGCCTATCAGGTCGAGACGGCTGTCTCGTCTGACAAGGTCGAGACGGCCGTCTTGCCATTCGGGATGGCCGTCTCGACTTGTAAAAGTGGCGAGACGACGGTATCGACTTTCTCAGAAACGAGAAGGCCTTCTCGTGAAACGGGAGGGGGGTCTCGCCATTCGCAAGTGGCTAGACGGCCGTCTCGCCAAACGAGACGGCGGTCTCGACTTGCTGGAATGGCGAGACGGCAGTCCCGAAAGGCGAGACGACGGTCTCGATCCCTAAAGGAAAAAATCCTTATTTTAATGCAGAAAATCCTTCCTATCCTATTATGAGGCCTAATAGTCTCTCCTAGTTGCTTCTTAGGCTTCATCCATCTTCGAATAGGAGGTC